CCCCAAAACCCCAAAACCCCAAAACCCCATTTTCCGCGAGTAAGTTTAATAATTTATTATGGCGGACAGCTATAGAGAACAAGACAACCAGTCTGAAACAACTGAAGGTCAACGTCCCAGGGGTATCCTCAAGGCAAAGACACCTAAGAGAGAGATTAATGCGTTTCATAATAGAAGGATCAGCTGGGGAGAAAAGAAGACAAGAGAGTTCAAACCAATGAGTGATAGCTCAAATTCTCAGCCAACTACAGAAAAGCGCAAGAGCAATACTCGATGGGGACCTGAAATTGTTGCCATTATTTCACCTCATGAAAACAATAAAGAGAACAACCCACCTGATATTGATGAGGAAAGCGATAGTTTGAATATTCCAAGTGAAGAAAGAAAGAGAATTATTGAAGAGTTTGACAGCGAAGATAGTATTCATGATCCAGTTGAGCAGAAGCTCCCAAATAATTCAGATCTCGAGAAGGATAAATCTTCTTGGAGTAACACTTATGCAAAGCCAGGAAGGGTTGAAGAAAATAAATTAGAAAACAGGAGACCAAAGCCAAGAACTACCAATCTTAAATAACCTTTTAAAAACTAAGAAAGAGGATGAACCCCAAAAACGTAGACCAACCACTCATCCCTTCTTTACTGAGAAAGATGAACCAACCGAAAAGGATCAGGGCTACCAGAGCTATTGGGACTTAAAGAAAGTTTCAGATGAAGAGGAGGATAAAAATAATCAATATCTGCAACCTCATATTCCTGAGAGGAGCAGGGACTCAGTTACTCCAATAAAACCTCCTAAATTTGAATCTCTAGATGATTCTTTGATAAAACGAAAAGATAAAAGCCTACAAGAAAGAGAGTATAATAAGAAGAAAAGACAAACTTTAGAAGAAATTTATCATGCTTGTAAAAGCCCAAGGCCAAACTCACGAGATTTACATAGAAATCTCAAGAGAGCTGGATTACAAACTCCTGGAGCAAATTTTGCAATTAATGAATCAAACATCCTCAAGTAGGAGTTTGTACTAAAGCTATAGACATGAGAACAACCGACTGAAACAACTAAGCAAGAACAAATATCCAAAAATAGTGAACTCGATTCTGAAGGACATCAAGAGGATTGATAGCTGTAAAACTATGAATCCTGATCTGATTTTAATACTTCGTCAGCAGAGGAAGAAGCTTAAAACTATTGCTAGAATTATGACTCAAATTAATGAGAAGAAGGAGTTGGAGCAAAAGCTGCTAAAAATGATGAAAAAGAAGATCACAAATGAGCAATTTATCTCCCAGATTGAGACTCTTAAGGCAAAGGAAAAGATTATTAAGAACAAACACACCGAGAAAATGTTTATTGATAATGTCTATTCAAAGTTATTTATTAAGCACTTGGTTCAATGAGAGATTTGTTATACAGAAATGAGCCCTTCGACACCAATAGTCTTTGAACTTTTTCCTATAACACCCATAACTAGAGGGAAAGAAAAGCTTAAGGTGTCCAATTTTGGTCTGTTCAAGGTGAAGCTATTGGTCACTAAAGATCAGGAAAAGTTGATAGATATCAGTTGAAACTATGATCTTAAGAACCTCTTCAGTATAAAGGATATACCTACATACTATGCAAACAGCAAGGGAGAGACTCTTGAGCCAGTCGAGGCTAAAAAAGTCATCTCCTGAACGTTCACCTTCCTGTGTGACAAGATTAATATGGTTGTTCAGGCAGCAAATAATAATAAGGAGGAGATCAATATAAAGACCCTTATAAATTTGTGCACGAATAATTTGTTTGGCTACAAATTATTCTTAGAGGATCTTAGAGATATTTATGCAGGAAAGTACCCTAAAATTTATCTGGACGAATTCAAAATTCTAGAGAGCCTTCTTGAGAATCAAGAGATGCTTACAGCAGAAGAACCTTTGGTCTTTATAACCCTCTGAGTGATAAATCCTAGGGGTGTTCACCCAGAACTGATTTTGACTCTAAAGGGAGATTATAGGTAAGAGTTTTGGTGGGTTTAGGAGATTAATTTTGTTTGAAAGAATGTACAAAATGAAAAATATTTAGATAATATTTGAGGGAATCAGGCTTATCGATGAGTTTGGTCTTGGTTTTGATTTTTTGGAATATTAAGCACGATTCTGCTCTTTTTATTACACTTCTTTCATTTCAAAGAGATATTGTCTGCCCAGCATCAAATGAGCATTTTCTGATAAATTTTAATTAATTTTAATACCTATAGATACCTTTTCACTACAACCATAATATCAAGACCAACATCTATAAAAGCTCCTTCAGGAAGGTTACCTTTAAGAAATATAATTCAGTATTTCAATTAATTCTTAACCCAAAGGGGTTTTGGGGTTTTGGGGTTTTGGGGTTTTGGGG